AACAGGAGGATCACCACGGGAGTCACAACTAGTAGTGAGCCCCAAACACCCTGTAGACTCTTCGTTTAAAAAAAAAAAAAAAAAAAGACAGATTAGGATTGGGGGGGTTAGCTCAGTAGAATAAGCATTTGCCTGGCATGAGCAAGGTTCTGAATTCAATACCCAGTACCGCCAAAAAAAAAAAGGGGGGGGGGATTAAGGAGCACTGTAGCAAGATCTCCATGCACAAAACAACCCCTGACCCTCTCCCAGAGAAGTCATTTTATAATTAGCAAAGGGAAAACCAAAAATAAAGGGAAAGAGAAACCAAAGCATAGAATCCGTGGGCAAAGTACTTAGAAAGAAAATATCCACACAATACAATTCATTATTTAAAAAAAAAAAAAATTCCAGGGGCCAGGGAGATGGCTCAGTAGAATAAGCGCTTCCCTGGCACGCACAAGGGCCCAAGTTCAATCCCCGGTTCTGCAAAAAAAAAAAAAAAAAAAAAGTTCCAAAGAAATGGAAAAAACATTTTCATTCCATGGAAAGGAATCAGAAACTTGAAGGAAAAGCCTTAAAAATTACGAGACTAAATATTCACCTCAAATCTCACTATAACAGAAAATGCCACAGAAATGAAACCTGCAGCTGGCAAGTGTGGTAGACCCCGGTAGTCCCAGCTACTCAGTGTCTGAGGCAGAAGGATCACAAATGTGAGGCCAGCCTGGGCAATTTATAAAGATTCTACCTCAAAATCTTCAAAAAAAGGGGGAGGGTTTATACCTCATTATAAAGAAGACATAATAACGGAACCTTCAGACCTCCTAACAAATCCAATGAATCACCAGCCAGCTTTACATTACAGCTTTCCTTCTGAAGATATATCCAATGTTCATAACTCAATTACTCTTACCATGCATTCCTAGACAGTTTGATGCTACAGATCATTTCCACCAAGGCACAAGTGTCCCAATCTTTCTGGATTGTAAATGTCCTAACTATAAAATGTGGGAGCCACACTATATGAGATAAACTGTATGGTCCCTACCTTTCTTGAAGTTTTATACCTAGTGACAAAACTGGTATCAAACTTGGTTGGCTGTGGGTACAAAAGTCTGAAGGGGGGAAAAGTTTACATTGTCATTCCAGAGTTAACCACAGGGAGGAGTGAGGGATTTGAAAAAATTCCCACAGGAGCCAGGGTATTTGACTCTTACCTGAAGCCCACCTAAATGGATAAACCCTCAAGTCCAGGCACAATGGGACCATTTTCCTGCCTCCCTCTATCTAGATCTTACAGTGCTGTTCACAATAACACACAGTATTGTCTTTCTTTCTCCCTTCTTTTCTAACACTTTTCCCTGTTCTTCATAGTTTCATATCCACTCGACTAACACTACTTTTAATTCAGCTGTTTTCCTTTCTTCCAAAGTAAAATTTTCTTTTTCAAAAAAGAGTTCTCAATAGGTTGTGAGAAAAAAAATCGATGATATGGCAGAAAATCAAGAGAACTGAACAACTCAGACAAACAATTACTGAGTTTTAGCGAAATCCCAAGAGAAAAAATTTACCAAGAACAGGAAAAAAAAAAAACAGGTGTAGTGACGACACAATTTGTTTTCCACAGGCCATCAAAGACCCTACAAAGAATGTGCAAATGAGTGACAACTCTTGGAGTCAGGCAGCGTCTCTAACACTAACACTCGGTGCCCAAGGCCAGGCAACCAGGTGTTGATACGAAACAGACTACTATTGCTCGGCTTCCTTTCACTGTCATTCCTCACCCAAAGAGGGCTCCCACATCAAATAATAAAAAAATAAAAGTCATTTCTACTTAGCTCGTCCTGGAAAGATAAATGAGTACATACCCCCCTTTTCCATCTTTACTCCACCACTAACCCTCACACCGCTGAGACGCCTAGAGAGCTGGGCTGGCACTGGAGGATGGCGCGAAGAACCGAGGGCAGGCAGTGGGCGGAAGGTGTCTCTCCCCACATGGTCGAGCCCTCGCCGCCACTGGCCAACGGCCCGTAATTCCCGAACACCGGCAGCTCCCTCGGCCCCGAACCCTGCACTTACGGTTGCCTTTTATGCCGCGGCGGCCGCAGGCTGTAGGTTGGGACCTTTCCCCGGGGAGGACCCCATCCCCCCCGCTCCCATTCTCCGACAGGTTCCCGCCATATAGTGGCCAGACTGTGGGTCCAGCCGCCTCACCTCCATAGAGACGCGCCAGCCTTGCATGGCGGAGAAGCCGTAGGGCAGCGGGAGGCGTGGGGCGCCGACCCCGTCCCCGGAGCACTTCACCGTGTTGGGCTGGGAAAGGTAGGCACCCATGGCGGCGGCTGGCCGGCAGCCTCAGAGGCAGACGAGCGGGGCGCGACCCGTGCCGGAGCCGAAGCCCCGAGGGCGCGCGTGGCAGGAACGGCCCGGCTGCTCGGCCGACGCCAGGTGCCGGCGAAAAGCGCGAGGCCAGCCAGGAGGCGGTAACGGGACGCTAGCTGAGAGGGAGCGGAAGCGGAAACGGCGCCGCTACAGACCCCGCCTGGCCGGGGCGTTGCCGCGCGGGACCGTGGGCAGTCATTTCCTTAGCAACTCGCCCCGCCCACAGGAACAACGGCCAGCCCAACCGCCGCTACCGCGAGACTTGCGCGGCCACGCCCATCAACGGCGCAGCTAGACTTCGCTTCCGCGTGCGGGCCTGCAATCTCTCCTCGCTGCCACCCACGTGTCCCCACCCTACCTCAGCCGCCTCGTTTCCTGGTTCTGTCCGGGTAGCTTTTCTGTCTGAAGCCTCTTTTATGTTGGACCCGTGGCTTTCGGTCCATGCTGCAGTGTTAACGACCCGGTCTTCCTACCCACACCCAGCTCCCTCGACTCCACCAATCCGGCCCGATTCGGTTAAGTTAAAGTTGACTCGTATTTGTTCTACACGCCGTACTTGACCAGGCTTCATGAGGCCTATACGAGAAGAATGCGAGTCCTTTTTTTTTTTTTTTTTTTTTTTCCTTTCTTGACAAACTGAAGCCCTCTACCTATGACGATTTAATACAGTATAGAAACGTTTGATTCATTCTGATGGCTGGGAAAAAGCAAAAGGAGGGGAGACCGAGGTGTGGCTTGGCAGCAAGAAAAGATTTTAGACACATGGAGAACACACTTAGGACTGCATTATGTCAGAGGAAAGAGATTAATGCCACAAAGTTGGGACAATGAGAAAAAATAGAATCTGCATTTGAGAGGGCTTTTGAGGAAGCTGACCAGCTTGTTGGAGGATTCTGATTAGTAACATTAGATACCTTAAGAGTGGAGCAGTGACACTAGCTACTCAAGATATTGAGACTAGAGGATCATCGGTTAAGTTTGAGGTCAGCTTGGGCAATTCAGCAATTCCCTGACTCAAAAAAAAAAAAAAAAAGTAAAGGGCCAGCCAAAAAGCTCAGCGGATCAAAGTGCCTGCTTGGCCTGCAAGCAGGTACAGGAGCCACTGGTTCCATCCCTGGGCCTGCTGTGCTGGCCCCGCCCCCAGGGTGCGTTGAGACTGGCAATTGGCAATTGAGACTGGGTGTGGTGGCGCGCCCCTGTAATCCCAGTTCTTGGGAGGCTGTAAACAGTCGGATCACAACGAGTCAGATCTAGACCCTTGCTGGAATAAAGAAAGAAAAAAAAAAAATGTTGAGGATGTGGCTCAGGAGTAGAGCACCCCTTGGCTCAATCCCCAGTACCACTAAAACCAACAAAACTAGTGCTGGCTTCTCCCTCTTACATTTCAAATAATCCAAATTCCTTTATTACTAGGAAATAACTAGAGTGAGCTTCTATGCAAATTCATCACTGTGGTTTACAAGACCTTACCTGCTTGAACCAGGACTGGGTTTGTCTGTTTCTCACCATTCACCTGTAACTAAGTGCTCCAGCAATGTGTCTGTGGGTGCTTTCTTCCTATTCTTTTTTTTTTTTTTAACCCACACCTCTCCACCCACCATACTTGGCCTTACTTTCTCAAGGATGTCCTTGCTTGTATCCCTGTGTTAGCTGGTATCACTACTTACCTTTCCTACTAGGCCATTTTTTTTTAATTTATTTATTTGTGTGTGTGTGTGTGTGTGTGTGTGTGTGGCCAGCTCAGCCCACCAGGGGGCGGGGCTGGCTAGCATGTGGTGCTGGGGGATTGAACCGTGGTCTCTGTGCTTTGCTAAGCTTGTTCTAAGTAGGTGCTTTAGACCACTGAGCCATCTCACCAGCCCCTCTACTAGGCCATATTATTTAGTCTTTTACATTCCTGGCAAAGTTCTGGTATATATGCCAAATAATACTGCAGTATTCATTGAATTAAGGAATAATACCAGAAAGAGAGAGAGAGAGAGACAGAGAGAGGGAAGGGAGGGAGAGAGAGAAGAAAACCAAGGTTTTGACCCTGCATGACAAAACTTGATAGAACCATTAACAGACAATGGTGGGATTTTCAAGGGGAGATGCTGGTTTGGGTAGAAAAAAATGGATTTAGTTTAAGGTGACAAGCAGGCATACAAATATTGAAAATACTGGATCTGAGTTAGACCATGAGGATAGAAGCTTGTAGATTGCCATGAACCTGGATAAGCTCTCTGATAAGGCTATGTTGAGAAAGCACGAAATTACTCTGCCACTGCTGCTGCTTTTGGGGTTTTACTTTTTCCTAGGAATAAAATGTGACTAAAGGTTATGAGTTTTATGCTGTATTAGTGAGGTTTTTCACAAGTTACTTACTCTCTCAGGTGTAGTTGCTCATCTCTAAGATACTTTGTCATAAAACATTTAATCTTTAAGGTTAAAGACAGTAAAAGCCAGCCATGATGGTATAGGCCTGCTAATCCCTGCTCTTGGAAGGCTGAGGCAGACTAAGCTGAAGCCCAGATTGAATTGAGACTCTGTCTCAAAAAATAAACAACATAAAATCCACTGGCATGGGGCTGGGGAGATGACTTAGAGGGCCTGAGTTCAATCCCCAATTCTGCCAAAAACAAACAAACCACTGGCAGCAGTGTCTCCAAGACCCCTTTAGGCAGGGAGCCCATACAAGCAGCAGGCTGCATACATTATCAAGGAGTTGTTCTTCACAGCCGTTGCACACTGGGTGCCCATGAGCAAAGGAACCCAGTCGGCTTCATTGACTTCAGAGGGCTACCTATCCATATGCACAAGTATAAAATGGAAATCACATCAAATAATGCCCACAGGGGGAACTACCTGCTCAGGCCCCTCTCCTGTTCCTCTCTTGGACAGGAGCTTTCTTTCCCTCAATAAATATATTCTGCTCATAACCACAAAAAAAATAAATAAACCTGGTACATTTCCATATTAATCACTATTCCACCTCTATGTTTCCCTCAGTCCATCTCTTCATCCCTATTGTGTAACCTGCCTGCTATAAGTAATGTTAGAATTCCTTATGTGATGTTGGTACATATACATAATTCAGGTTCATTCATTGTATAACACCTTCCCTCTGGCTCCTGTTCCTCTTCTTACTAAGCAAGTATTTATATCCATATTCCTATTATATGTCATCATGATTTTTTTGTACTGGGTATCAAACTTAGGACATCACATTTGCCAGACAGGCACCAGGTCACTGCACTCGACCAAATATGCTGTTCACTATTTCATCTTTGTATCTCTAATATAAGAATATGCTCTCAGGCTTTCACAGAGAGCAAACTGGTCATGCAGTGACTGTGACACATCCACATGACTGACACAAAAAATTTACAAACTGCGGTACAGAGTTTCAGGTTAAATCCTAAAGGGATTTGACTGACCTTATCAGATACAAAACTTACATTTCTTGTTATATAGGTCTTGCTTTATCTTGGTCTTAACCATCCAGCAGAAAAGTATGAAAACGAAGTATAAAAAGTAAATCCATATTATTATACTGAGCTGTAAAAGGCTCAAGTCAACAACTTTGGACATTGCCAGTCTTACAGAAAACACATTACTTTTATGGACTACTGAACTGTATTGGGGTATTTTGCTGAATTCATGCACCTACAGTATTTAAATGACAATGGAATGCCCTTCTCTGACAAAACTAAACAAAAAAGAGGGATAGAAATGAACGACCCTTTTGTATCTGTATACTCAAAATAGTTAGGATAGATATACAGCTCCATTCTCTTAATTTAATGAATAGAGAGGTTTGTTCTAATAGTGTTTGAGACAGAATATCAGGTCTGCATCTTGTACAATGAATAACCACTAAGACAACAATATGCAATATATTAATTATTGAAACTGTCCTATTAATCGGTTTTGAAACTGTCTCATTGCTATTTGTTTCTCAATAAAAATATAAAAATTAAAAAAAAAACAAATAATGCCCACAGAAAGTAGAAGATGAGCTAAAAATGGAAGAAAAACACAAAATGAAAAAAAAAATTTGTAAGGAAAAAGTGAGGCACTGGGAAAGTAATGGTGTCACAGAAAGGGGACATAGATATCCTGAAGGGGCTGATGGAGGGAGGAAAGGTGAGCTGAGTGTAGTGGTACATGCCTATAATTCCAGCACAAAAAGCTGAGGCAGGATAATCAAGAGTTGGTGCCCAGCCTAGACTACATGGTTAGACCCTATCCAAAAAAATGGGTAGGGAGACAATATTTTCTTCTCCCTACCCTCACCCCTATTCCATCCCAAATCTCTACAGTGCTCTTTTTTTTTTTTTTTTGAACCAGGGACTGAACTCAGGCCCTGCAAGCGCTTATTCTGAGCCATTTCCCCAGCCTCCTCCACAGTGCTCTTTGAAGGCATGAAAGTTCATGCTGTAAGAGAGGGCAATTAAATAAATAAACCAAAACATATTCACAGACTCATAGTCCTCAGCATTATCTTTTGTCTGTAAAGTACAAGCTGCAAAAATCAAATTACAGGTGTTAATAGAACCAGCTCTTGAACATGTATTTACCTGAGAGGTTGATCTTATTGAGAAAGAGGATAGGTTTTTTGTTGTTGTTGTTTTTTGTTTTTTGGGTTTTTTGGTGGAACCAGGGATTGAACTCAGGTCCTCATCTCCCCGGCCCCCCGAGGGTAGGTTTTTACAGCATATATCATACTCATTTCAAGGCAAAGGATAAAGGTATAGGATCCATTTAGTGTATTAAAAATAATCCATTTAACCATTTAGGAGTTCCCACACTTTCATAGCAATATTTCTCAGTATAACTTTTTTTTTTTAATTGGTTTTTTGAGACAGGGTCTTGTTCTATAGTTCAGATTGCCCCTGGCTCACTAAGTAGCCCAGGCTGGCCTCCAATTTGTAGTAATCCTCCTGCCTCAGCCTCCTTAGTGCTGGGATTACAAGTGTATGCTACCGCACCTGGCCCCAGTATCACTTCTTTTTTTTTTTTAATGTATTTAGTACAGGGTCTAAGGGTCTCACTACATAGATCAGACTCATAGTGATCGATGAGGACTGACACGGCTGCTTTGGCAGAGCACAGCGGCCCAGGGTTCCATCTCTGGCATAACATGCTAGGGCGCACTGCGACAGCAATTGAGACTGGGCGCGGTGGTGCACACCTGCAATCCCAGCAACTGGGAGGCTGAAAACAGGAGAATCACTATGAGTCTGATCTCCAAGGTGACACCCTATACACCCTGTGCCAAATCCTTTTTTTTTTTTTTGCAGTACCGGCGTTTGAACTCAGGTCCTGCACTTGCCAGGGAAGCACTTATTCCACTGATCCATCTCTCCAGCCCCAAATGCATTTTTAAAAAAAAATCACTAGATTTTTTTCAGATTTCCTTGTGGTCATTTCTTTCACATTAGTTAAACAATGATAATAACTGATAACTGACAAATACCCATCATTTTTAAAACTTTTTTTTTTTTTTTTGAGACAGTATCTCCCTATGCAGTTCAAATTGGCCTTGAATTTACTATGTAACCAATGCTGGCCTAAAACTCTTAGCTCTTAGTGATCTTCCTGCTTCAGCCTCCCAAGTGCAGGAGTTATAGGCATGTACCACCATGCTGGGCCTTAAAAACTTTTTTTCTTCTTCTTCCATTTGCTTCTCATAAGAGGAAAGAGAAAAAATGCTTTGAGGTAGCATGTGTGTGCCCATGTGTGTTATTGGGCAACAAATCTAGGGCTTTTGTTCTGAGCTACATCCCAAGTATCCCCCACCCCATTGAGACTGGGCGTGGTGGCACATGCCTGTAATCCCAGTGTTTGGGTGGCTGAAAACAGGAGAATCACTACAAGTC